TGGCGCTACCTTAGGGTTGCTACTTGAACTTCCCGATGCGCCTAGAGCTGCATCCTTCGGGGGACACTGCTCACGTGTGGCATCACTCGGCCCTTGAACTTGGGGAGCCCGGGATCCGTAGGATTTTGACTTTCATGACTTTCATCCGGAGGTACCGGAACATTTTGTGCCATGGATGCGACAGCCCTTTCTAGGTCAGCAAGGCGTTGCGACAACAAAAGGTTTTCAGTCCCTAATGTATCTATCACTTTGCTTTGCTGGAGGATCTTCTGTTCCCGTGAGGAAATTTCTTGAATAGCCTCCTGTCTCAACCTGGACACTTCGGCTTCTGCGGCCGACCTTGCTTGTTGGGCTTCATGCCTAGCACGTTCAACATGGCCTACGGCTTCCTGTCTTAACAGATGGACATGGCCTTCAGCTTCCTGCCTCACCTGTTGAACATGGCCTTGGGCTTCCTGTTGAGAATGCTGTGCAGCTTGTTCAGCTAATGCTGTCTGAGCACGGGCTCGTTCGACTGCTTGCTGGGCTTGGTATGTCAGTTCCGTTGCCTGTTGTCTAAAGGTCTGCTCCCTTTGTTGCGCAACAGCGGCAACCTCCCCTAGCCTTTGGCGTGCCTCGTCCGCTGCTCGATGCTCGTGAAGGGCAACATTGGCAGCCTGATCAGCAATGAGCGAAGCTTGATGCGCACGTTGCAATGCCGATCCGGCCACGAATGCAGCGGCACTCATGTCCCTAGATGGGTCGGGCGTAGGCACTTGCGGGCTATATACAAGGGGGGTTGCAGTAGAGTCTGAATCAGGTTCCTCTACAATGGGAGTCCTACGGGGAGGAGTCGCGTTTCGGTCGCGGCTACGAACATCTCTTGATGAGGATGCCCTGGAACCTACGGGAACTACGGACATTGCGGGTACCGAAATATCACCGAGTTCAGGGTCTTCCTCATTAGATTCTCCCCCAGGGGTTGACCTTGACCTATCATCCGAAGGTGGGGAAATCCCTGATGCCATGTCGGATGCACCTTTCACACGAGGCCAGGCTCACGTATGCTGACACACCGCGCTTCAAGCTGCGGCCCTTGAAACTTATAATACAACCGGTGTTGGAAACCGGTGCACTTGACCGGTGTTGGAAACCGGTGCCTTTGCTGCGCTTGAGCTGCAGCCTCCGGCAGTGCCAGGTCAGCGAAAAAGTCCGCGGCCGCCCCTTGCAGAGTGGGGGCGGTTACCAACTTCTTCAAGGTACTCTGTCTGGTCGAGTACTCTGGCAGGACGGAGGAGGCGTCGGTGTTGGTTGAGATACTCGTGGAGCTCGTCCAACGCCTCGTAGAGCGCCCGATTGGCGTCTCGCCGCTCGACACAAATGCCGAGTGCGCCTGCAATGCGGCACTCCCTCAGGGTGGCGTTGTTGTCGTCGATGACGACGCTCGCCCCCAGCTGCGCTAGAGCTGCAGCCTTGCCAGATGGACCAACCCGCTTCCAAGTGAGGACAACGTCTCCAAACGGAGGGGTGCCCAAACCGTCGATGGAGTCGTTGCAAACGCGGGTGAACTGGGTGGCAAGCCGAAGGGTGCTCTCCCGTGTTTCACGGGCTTGACAGTAACTCACGATACGAAATTGGATAGGAAAATGGTTTCGGTACAGCTTTGCTAGCGTCCGAAATAACCAATCCTTTGGCGCACCGTCGGGCTCGATGGCAATATCGAGCGTGTTATGCCAGTCAAGGCAGGCGATGATCGGCTCCCTGGCGTCAGGCTGGGGTACGCCGAAATCGGGTGTTCCGTCACCGGAGGGTGCTGCTGCACTTGGGGGCTGCTTAACCGGCAATTTGGGTGCCGGGGCAGCCTTGAACCTCACCTGTGGTGGTGGTGAGGGTGGCGCCCGCTTGTAGGCTTTGGGCGGCGTCTCAGGCCGTTTTACCCCGCTAATCGATTTTGGAACCGACACTGCGCGTTGAGCTGCAGCCCTTGGCACTGGTGCTGGGGGTGCTGGTGGTGCTCTCAGCGGTGGTGGGGGTGTGGCCTTTGACGCAGCGCGATCCGCAGCTGCCTGGTCAATTACGCTTTGTGGGGGCGCTTTGACCTTGGATTCCCGCTTGGTAAAAACTATCCGAGCGGTCTTTGTTGCAGGTGCTGTGGATGAGTCGCGCCCGGCAGGTGCAGGCCTCTTGATGCTGACCTGCTCAGCCTCGTACACCCTGTCCGGGTTGAAGGCCGCCAAGCCTGAGTAAACCTCACGTGCAGACCTTTCGGGAGGCGGTGAAGTACTCAGGTCAAAATGTTCGGCCCTCCCGTGTCCTCTGGGAGGGTTGGATGAGGACCCTGCCCTCGGCGGATGATGCCAATACGAGTCTGGGAGGTCGTACGGCTCGTCGGAGGACCGGGTGTGGCGCCCGACGCGTGGGTCGTGAGCCTCCCTCGTATCGGTGCTGGAGGATCCAGATTCCCGTGCTGTCCACCCGAGTTGTCGGGTAGGCGCAGTTGGCCGGCGCCAAGATCAGCGGCCGGCTGCTCAGGGATGCACGGGCCGGAGGTGTTGGGGAGCTGTGGCTCCTGGTCCTCGACCTCGCTGCGCTTGGAGCTGCAGCCCTGAGGGGAGTTCTGGATCGTGGGCGTCGGGTTGACGCCTTCCGCACCGGCGGAGGTGAAGGCTGTCGCCTTGTCGGTGGCGTCCTCTTCCTCCTTGATGAGGACCTCCCTGCAGCAGTGTACCTTCCCCGGCCTGCTTTCACAGGCGGAAAGGATGACGGTCGGGACGGGCTCTCAGAGCTGGTCCTTGTGGGAACCGCTGCGCTTGGAGCTGCAGCCTGATCTCCCGGCCCTGCTGCTGCCTGTGTCGGAGCTGCGCTTGTAGCTGCAGCCTTGATTGTGGACACAGTTGTGGTGGAGGATGGACTTGATGGGGTGCTTGGTTGTTGCTGAGGCTGGGCTGGTACTGGAGCTAGAGGCTGCCCTGCCGCGCCCTGAGCTGCGGCCTGTGCCCGTTGTAGGATTGGGATCGGTTGGTGTCGGCCTCGGGCGATGACGGCGTCGTAGAGGTCGGGGTAGATGTCTCGCAGATGCCGATAAGCGTTATCGGAAAAATCTGCTTGCCACGCCAGGAGGGAGCTCCGGTGCAAATCCGATGCCTCCTCCCAGGCGACCCTTGCCACCCCAATCTTGAACTCCCGCCAGGCCCACCGGGTGAGCTCGTCGAAGGCCTCGTAGTAGAGCTTGCGACGATGCGTCCACCCGCCCCTCTGACCACGGGCCGAGAAGGCCGGTGCCGGGTCCATGCACGAAGTGCGCTGACTACCGGACTGAGGGGGCCTAATCCCAAAAGCAGTTACGGCTGATAACCACTCAACAGGGGAAGAAACACAGCGAACCAGAAACCGGGACCCTTATTAACCCCAGTCCGGTAGGCGAGCGCAAACCCTGGTTTTGATCTGATGGGCATCTTGAGCCAAATGGTCATTGCCATTCGACATGTCACCCGAAACACATGCAGTCAATGGGGCCTCCAACATCACCCATCATCACATACATGCACACCCTTCTGGGGTACCTCTTTGGGGGTCAAGGGGTCGTGATTATTCAACTACTATAATTCTTATATTTATTGCAACCTCCGCCCTCCGCCCATCGAGTTCGCAGGCTTTGGTGGTATATCATGTTTTTGAGGTACGCGGAGAACAGAATATCCTTGTTTTTCGGGTTTGGGGGGGGTCGGGTGGGTTAGGCTTTGGTGACGTGCAATTCAGAGTCAAACAGCATGCGCATAATTCGCGTAGTCTCTTTAGAATGCTGTACCTTCAAGAGCGACATGCTGTGCATTCAAGAGAGGCATGCTGCACATTCAAGGGAGGCACCCACTGCATCTTGGTAGTTTTCAGTTCACCAGTGCGATGGGTCAACGGTGAGCTCGGTTCACCCGGTGAGCTCTTTACGACTTGCCCAAAAGGACCTGCACCCTTTTTGTTGGTCAGCTTGTTGATGGACACCTGCGAAAACAAGCAACCCTAGCTGCAAATTGACACCCATCAAAACCTCTTTGAAACTGGGGAAACGGGAAAAGAAGATTCTAGTAAAACGGCCAACATGAGTGCTTGGGAGATCTTATGCCAATGGTCAGGAGAGTAGGATCTAGGAATTCAAACAACTTGAGCCAATCCAATTGGCCACGGATATCATATGGTTCACGCTGATTGCTGTTCGCACCTCTCGTTCCTCATGATGCTCCAAGGGTTTTTCTATGCGGAAAAGAAAACCCATCCAACCAAAAACGCTGCAAAGACTCAAAACCCGCCGGGGGGGCGATTGTTCCCCTCCCCCAAAAAAAAACAATAAAAACAGGGCTCTCTACTGAAATACGTGAGCCAACTGCAGGTTTAAATGCCCCTTTTGAGGGAAACCAAGAAATAAAGCCCTGACACCAGAGGTGACTGGACATCGGGCAAGTGCGCATTGCATTGGCCTCGGGGTGGTCGTGGCTGATGTAGGCAAAATTCCAGCAGAACATGGCCAGGCCGCACCGATCCAATCTCTCCACCTGGCGCAAAATTATCCAGGCCAGTTTTGGGTACCCGCCCATCCAGGAACATGGAAGCTCGGCGGTAGAGTCTCAAATGGAGTTCTTCGAGACGAGTATGTCTCAAAGTGCATCAACCTCAGCAACCTCTTCGCACACTCAGTATATGTCAACCTCCACAACCTGAAGACCCTCGCCTCAGCTCCAACGGCCGGGTCCCTGGTTTCAATCTCCCGTTGCTCCGACCAAAGGAAATTCCAGGGATAGAAACTGCCAAAGCCAAGCTGGGAGTTCCTCAGCATTCTGCGCTCAATGAAATCGTGATGTTTGCGACCCTTCATTGCGCGCTGTAAACAACCAGCCCAACAAATTGAGGCAACCATTTCGACAACGAACATGTCCCACCCGGCGAAGGTCTAACTTTTGTCCACCTCAAGTCACAGTGCTCAGAAGCTTCCACAGACAAAATGGCTCCCAAAACTGCACGCCCATGTTTCACCCATCCCAACTGGACGTGACATGGCCGGCCTCGGGAATGACGCGCGTGGCCACGGCGTCGAAGAGCTCCTGAGAGGCACATGAAACTGGTCAAAAAGAAACGAGACCCTTAGGTCTCGTCGAGGGTACCCTTTTCAGGTTCGTTTGAAGAGAAACCCTGTATGGTCCCTATTTTAAATTGAGCCCCCCTATTCGTCAACAACGGGTTTATGAATCCGGAATTCTTGTTGTAGGATTTTTCCTCCTAGTTCACCCTGCATTCTGCGGATGGACACGATCCACTTCGAACCGTTGGGATTGGTGGCTTGTCTGTCCATCCGCAGCAATTGGTTTGCTGCGGTTGAGAATGCAAATCTGCTTGTCTGAACAGAAAACAGCAACTCCATGTGACGGAGAAGGCGGGTCAGATGTCAAATAACCAGAGGCATGTCGCATCCCTGCCCTCCGACCATTTCCTAGGGCATTTCCCTCCACTGCCAAAACATGTTGGAAGGAAGGCACCTGCACAGGCGTTCCTGAACTCCACACGCGAGGCTATCGGTGTGCCTCTGTTGGTTTCACGGCCATGCCATGAACAGAAAGATCATGTTTGAGCGAAACTAGCACCTGCAAATGGATACATCATGTTCATGAGGCACTCTTTGATACATTTATGCCCCCAAGAAGGGCGATTTCAATTTCAACGCTGTCTGCCTCGGAGTTATGCCCTCAAATGATTTCTTCTGGATAAGTACAGTCACGGGCACTGAACCTCCGAAAAACATACCGACGCTGAAAGGGACTCCCTGGAAGACCAGGGACCCTGTTTCATGTTCCATGTTTTGGAAAAGTGACAAGGGCTTAAGTTGTTTCGCAGGAACATCTTTTTCTGCACCCTTGGGGAGAGGGATTGGGGTTTCCCCCAAAAGGTTCCAAGAGTCTGGGTGGGAGCACCCCTTCTAAGAAAGCTCTAAGAACCTTACCTGGGTGAAAGAAGGGGGCCTGTGGCTTCCGCAGCAATGGGGCCCCAGGCAGTGCACATGATCAAAGGCTTGCTGAAGCTCCACATGAGGTAGACGCAACCTCCGCTTCCGGGGAACAGAGGAGATGATGCAAGAGCTTCCATTCTTCGCAAGCAATGTCTGGTGGGATCACCTATCATCTACCGGAACAAGGCTCGAATTACAGCAAATTCTAGCAAGGTCAGTTCGCCACCCATCCAACAGCAAGGGTCTGCAAGATCAACCTCCACACTAGCGCCACGGGACATAAAGAAGTCAGTGCGAGACCGCCAGACCGTCTTGCCAAAAGCAAGCATCGTCGCTGAGTTCTGAGAATCGAACTTGCCATGGGCATGACTCCAAACATCGAGCTTGATCACTGCTGGATGTGACACACAAACAAACACACAACCAGCCAAACACACACACACACACACAGGCACAAACACACATAAACAAATCGGCCATAACTAAGCTCCGAGTGCTCGACTGATGGGATGGATCTCCGGCAGCTTCTCAAGCACCAAAGGCGCCAGGCAGTCGTAGAAGGCTGTGTGGGCGAAGCCAGAGCTGGCTCGGCCTTGGCCCAAGCGGGGTGAATTCTGAATGGGCGGTTCGGCGATGCGGCCATGCACAGCCTGGGCCTCAAATTTTGAAGCGCAGGTTCTCTGACACATGGAAAGTAGGGATTGAAGCGGGATAAAAGTGGCACACCCCCGCGTAGTCAGTGGATGATGGACATTTAGACCTGTCAAGATTGATAGTTGTTGGGGGAGGACCCATGGATAGCCATGCCAGCGCCTTACCTGGGACCACCCCCCCCCATTTGGCGCTTTGCGCGAGCCCTGTCCCTGCCCCAGCATGCAGCACTTCTTTTGCTGGCTTGCGTATGCAGCCACAATGTCCTTTACCTCGGCTCGCGCATGGCCAGGTTTGGCTTCACCAAAATTGGTATTGCAAGGGCACTGCAAGGCCCGCACCCAACAACAATAAGAAAATGTCTGCCCCGGCGCTGGACAAAAACAAGCAGGCTCACAAACCACAAAGCGTACCACAGGACCGTAACGCATCGTGTTGGTTAGGAACACTCTCAAAGCCTGCTACCCCAGCACGGGTTGCCTGAAAATTGGGAACCTTTTGATTCTTGGACCTCTGAATCACTTTTAAAAGAAAGCATCCACATAGTAAAAAAAGAAGTCCTTGGCTTTAAAACACCCCCATGTTTGTAGGTTTCAGGGCTGCGCATCAACTCATTTTAGCGATGCCATAGTCAGAAGTCGCGGAGCTGTGCCTATCTGCAGCTGAAAGGAACACAGGTTCCAACCACTCTTGGGCAACACGTCTACACCTGAACACAACCGGCCATGGGTGCGTTCCTCAATGTCAGCTTCGTGTGTGAAGAAGCTGCAAGCAATCGAAACTCACCCAATCTCTGTTGTTGCACGCTCAAACATGTTCAAAGTCAGAAGTTCGTGGCTTTCTCTTGAGACACCGCCAACAACCCACAACATGATTGTGGGGACCGCCCTCTTCTGCGAGAAAGGCCTTCCCAATCTCTATTTCTTCATTCCAAGGGGTCCCCTCATTCCCACTGCAACAAGGTTCTGGCGGCACATTTTTCACCCCACCCCTGCCGCACGGAGCCGAGGAAATCCTCCCGCCTGTTTCTGCGAGTTCTCCTCCACGCGCCGCTGGATCAGCGGGTCGACCACGCCCCGCGGGAAGTCCGCGAAGGACCTGCGAAAAATATGGACCCAAAGGCGCGGAGCTCTCGTTGGTGGCGAACATATGGGGGGCCGTTTGGCAGATGCAATTCCATGAAGTTTCCTGGTTTATTTCCTGGTTGGTTGAATAAACCCAGCTTTTCGTCTTTGTAGGTATGGCTCATCATCAGACCAGCGGTGTGATGTAGTGCCTATAATAGATGTTTCAGCAGTTCTTGTCCACCCCTACAGCGGAAAACTGAACTATGACGCGAGCCATGGTCAATATGTATTGTGCTGATAAACGCAAGATTTAGGAAAGTGCAGCAAGCCTCAAAAGCTGCAGCTCTCAATGGCAAGCCAGCAAATAACGGTCATGTTTGATTGTTGCTCACATGGTTCATGTGCAGGAACAACCAAAACCAAGCAAGTGGTCACTTGACGATCTTCAACAATGGCAGCTCTTCAACAATGGCAGTAGGCCATCCGGCACAGTGAATGGGCAACTCAACATTATTATGGCAGAATTCAGAACTGTTGGGAATGACTCACTTGACCAAAATGGAAACAACCGGTTGACCTTTCGGGACAAGTCAAGCGTGAAAAACCAAATTGGTCTGATCTTCAACTTGCTTCGAACAACTGCCTGGCCCTATTCCTTTCTCAGAGTAAGCCCTGACTACGTACATACAAGTAAAACGCGGCACCCCAGCCCATCAGAAGACAGCAACAAGGCAATAGTCATACAAACAAAAACATCAAGTTGACCAAGCAGGAATCTTCGTGGGGGAAGATCAGAAAACTCGACTCCTTTTGCCCATGTCCCTGTTGCGAGGTCGCACGTGCCTGAGCCCCACCCCGAGCGCTAGCCGCTTCCAAAGGCTGGCCGGCTCCTGAAGGATGGAATGAGCCGCACGAGTGCACCGCGTGAAGACGCGATATGACAAGATGGCACCCAGGTAAAGCAACGGACGCCCGTGAATAGTCCAAAACGAAAAATGAGGACTCTCCTGTTTGACATGGGTATGTGTTAAAATAAGAGAACCCATAAATTTAAATGGGTGGCTCCTTTTGCTCCCTTTTGTCAACCTTGAAAAGGGCATACCCTCAAACAAACAAACAATCACACACACACAAATAGGCCCCCAATTGGCCACCTTTGCAAAGGAATGCCGGACCGTCCCCTTCTCGGCTGACGACGCCGTGCAAAGCTCTGCAGTCTGGATTCTCCAACGCCCACGGCCCCGCAAACCTGCCTTGGGCGGGAGCTGGTTTTGTTAAGCCCCTGAACATAAGATGCAACCCGCCGAGCGCCCAGTGCTTATAGCATCCTAGCCAACCGGTGTCATGCAATTGCAGGTCACTCGCTTTACTTGACGCGCATTCTTTGCACTTGCCCAAATGGCCCAAGTTGCCTCCATTTGCCAAAGCTCACTTGAAAGAAAAACCAAAGATAGACTCCCTTTAAAACGAACATGTTATAAAAAAAACATGTGTTTAAACAAACCAAAAAACACATATTTTTAACCAATGACCCGATAGCCCAATCTCCTCTGTGAGCAACGCCTCTGCCTCCTGGGAGGCCCGGAGCTGGGCCCAGACGCCCCGCTCCTCAAAAACTGTGCGACGCGCTCGCTCGAAGCGGAGCGAGCCGCGGATCGATCGGAAGAGCTGTGGGTCTGGAGTGGAGATGTCTTGGAGCGGAGTTTGGTTTGGTTTGGTGGGTTTGCAAGTTGCCGACATGTTTAGCTGCTTCTCTTTTCTCAAGACAAACAAGCAGTGCCTGCCGCCACTTGGGACATCTTGTTGGGGGAGGGCGCGACTTCTGGCGCTGTTGAGATTGGGGGGCAACCACCGGCCTGGATCAACTGGCCGAATTTTCAAACTTGCGCCTAACCACGTGGCAGGCGGTTTGTTTGGCGAGTGTTCCTCCTGCGAGCCGACTCTTTGGCTCTGGCAGTACCCTGCGAACACAAAACGTGAGACTCAGCGAGCCCAAACTAAGCGGTGTGCAAAGTCACACACACGAAAGGGCGACAAAACAAATCAATAAGCGGCAACATTGATAACTCAGCAAAAACCAGCAAACACATGGTCACATGCCATTATGAGTATTGTATCATAGGTTCTCGGTGTTTCAATAAGGGTTGAATCCCCTAGGTGAGAATCGTGACCAATTTGGGGAGTTTTGCGCCAAATGCATTGAACAAAACCCCGCAGAAAACAGACCGTCAGACCGCCGGGTGATTTGTGAAGTCATCTACTCACTTGCCAGTGGCCGCGGGGGAAGCTGACGCGCCCTTTTAGTCCTGCTTGATGTCGTGTCTCAGAAAGGAGTAACAGTGCTCTTTTCCTTACATTCAACAAAGTCGGCCAGGTTAAAAAAACAAAAAAAAACAACAACCCTGAATTCAAAAAACGCCATGTCATGGATGAGAACCTGCTCCAAACACCCTTTGTATCTTATCCATCTAAGTTGCTTTGCTCTGTTCAATATAATATTCTTAATAAATATACTTTTCCAAATACATATATTTTTCTTATACCGTCATGAGTCATAAGCTGTTTGCTAAATTTAATAAACATTTACTTATTGTTTGCAAAAGCTCATTAACGCCGTCGTCTCCAAAGCACCGCTCGGTTTAAGCACTGCCCCGCCCTTCGCGGCAAAGCAATCGCGCCAGGCATCGAGCTCCAGCTCCAGCTGTTCCGACTGCCAGCCCGAGTAGCCCAAGACCTGGGCCCATGGGGGATCAACTTGGACTGGGGTGGCAAACAATTGGACTGGGCCGTCTCCCTTACAGAAACGCCTCAGAGGCAACACAAACTAGCAACTGAAACAACTCGCAGACTCCGTAGCAAAACGCAAAACAGGGCGAAATGATTTATTCTAGGGTCTGCGGGACAGTCCCAACAAACAGAACGCAACAGAATCCAAAAGCTGACACCGATCAGGGTTCTGAAGAAGATGCTTCCTCTTTCTTGGCCAGGTAAACACCGATCTAATTCGGAGGGTCCCCCTATAACCAGGTGGCTTCGGAATGTATGTTGTAAGGGAAGCCTATGTACAGCAAAGGCACCGGCCTTACCGCCCAAATGGGCTTGCTGCCCTCCTCCACCATCTTCGCAGCCACCCGCATGTCCCCGCCCGTCCTCGAAGGCAAAGGTGAATCACCCAGCATCACCGAATCTCCAAATGTGACAAAATATCACGCACATGGAGCAGGGGATGGAGGATTCCAAGCAGTGGAGTTGCTCCTTTTGAGATACAGCCGCCGCCTGCACGATGTTTGCCACATGTTGGTCGTCCAACCCATAGTGGTTGAATATCTTGATTAGAATGCAAAAGACAACATAACTACACCCTGAGTCCCTCCCAGGAGCAAATGTAAGGGGTACCAGAAAAGGGATGGGCACGGAAGGGACCTCTGCGTTTGCCCCACCTGGGCTACATAAACAGAATTCCCTTCTCCCACTTTAAACTTTAAACATATCACCCCACCAAAGGCAAGCTTCGTTGAAATGGCCCAACTGGTAGTGTTCAAAGTTTACACCAGTCAAGGGGAACTATTGGAACGCTTCCTGAATGTGTGATTCTGCAAGCCACCCCTCCCTGGGTTTCGGGAGCAACAGGCCTTCTTCGGTCAAAGGCAAACTAAGGAGTCAAATCAAGGCCTTGGAAGGCGTGCGGAGGATCATTTGCGCGTGGTGCCCCTGATATGGAAGGAATGGGGCGACAGATTTCAGAGCCCTGTGCTAGGCAACTGCTCAAAGCATCAATCACCACCTGCGTATCTTCAAGAAGCTGAGCATGCAGGGTATGTGTCAAAAGACATACGACTCCCTTCAAAAGATACGCATCTGCGTGTGCGCTCACGCTTAAACCATTCCTGATTTGTTGTTTGGAAGAAACCAACATGATTCTGTGGCCCCTCCCCCCCCTTAGGCCGAAGCGCCACAGGCCGGGTGCTTTTTGGCGGCTGCCCGGCACCTCCGGCAGCGCGTGGTGCCACTGCAGCCGGTCCCGGAACTTGGGCAAAGGCGGCACCAGGTCCCCTCCGAGGAAGAGGCGGCACCCCAGCAGCGGGCCTAAGCCTCGTAGCTCGCCCCACCACGCCAGAGCTCGACGCGCAAAGGCGTGCGAGAATGCCCAGATTCCGGGCATGAAGCTTATCTCGGGTTGTTTTGGTGGACACTATTTGGCTATGTATTCTTTTAGGGTGTGTAACGTGCGACACGGCGCACACCTTGTTACGAAGGTATGTGACAGCGGTCCTTACTACGAAGGTGTGAAACGGAAAAACTGTGCTTGGCAAGTATTAGAAGCACAACGTAGCGCAGAACAACAAAGTGCATGTCTGCAGCTCCAGCGTGAAAGATTGAACTATTCAGTACAAGTGCAGCACGTAAAGCTCACCTCCGCAGCTTCTGCTCGAACTTCTCAGTGCAGGCAAACACAGAGGTCACTGGCCCAGGCTGGGCGTTGGGTATGTAATGAGATATGCAACAAGGTCGAGCACAGAAAAAGGATTCTTTCTTTCGGCCCTCCCTGCTACCTGTTCCAACTTTCCTTTTGATTGTCAAGCTCTATGCAAGTTGGTTCTTCAAAAGTATGTCAAGCGAAAGCATGTTCTGCCAAAAAAGCCTCTACTCTGCAGGCATTACGGGAAATCACTCACAGTCTGGGTATGCATCGGGTTATTATAGTTATGCAACGAGAGGCATGCAACCAGCCAGGCGGTGTTGTTAGCGTAAGGTATAGAACAAAGGTGTGTCTCAAGGACATGTAACGAGCCAGCAGGTCTTGTAAGATTACTATCCAAGAGTCTGCCAGTCCATGGCGGACATCTGGCAGAGGTCCAGGGTGTCTCCAGAGCGTCGACACCATTTGGAAAAATTGGTCGCAAAGTGGGTTCGACCACTCGTCTTGTAAAAAGGGCACAACATGTCGACAGGTTCTCTTTGGCCTGCGTACTGTAACCACCCTCGAAAAAGCTGGCACACGATTCAGAAATATCCTATAAGGCAGCGCAGAAGGGCCGATGTCAAACAAACACCCTCCATCCACTAAGTCCACTTTTTGGGATTCCTAACGGGAGGCAGGATTCTTTCAACCATTTATGCGGCGGACCCCGTTTACGGAACTCGACAAACCTGTCTGGCCCACGAAACATAGAACACACAACGGGCGAAGGCCACGTGGCACCAATGAAAGAGGCGATCATCTCCAACTATTCAGGCCCTTCTACAACCGGTTTCGTGTCAAACATAAAGGGGACCTGCTCCAAAAAACAAGTAGTGGATTTAATGACCATTTGTTTCTAAACCAGCATGAACAATTAGCAAACGTGTGTTATTATGTTGTTTTTAGAATTATGATTATTATTATTATAAGGTACCCTCCGAACACACATATGTATATAAAAACATGTGTATGTATATATATATATCTATATATTGTATCTAGGTATATACATAATCAGATGGGAGTGCCAAGTTCACCCAAGTCCAAGGGGCCATCCTCCTCAAGGCGCTCGCGCTCGGAGGGTGGCCAGGAGGCTAAGGCCTCCTGCAGTGTGAGGTCCGGCTTGTTCCTCGATTTGCTTCAGGTGGGCTTAGGGTAGGCTGTGGGTTTGGGTGGGTTGGGGTGGGTTTTGGGTGGGTTTGGGGTGGGGTTGATATGGAGCATCTGAGGCCTTCACCTCTTGGATGTGCGTCTATGACTTTCATTGTCAGGTGGTAGCAAAGTCAGAAACTGGCTTTTTGGTTTCCTCAACCTTCCACTTTGGGGGTTGATTTGATAAACCAGGATGAACACACCCCTGGTTGATTTTGATTGGGGAGTGTCCCACTTCAAATGGACCCGGTTGGCGAGTTGCCGCAGGAAACTGTGATTTCCCAAAACAGCAAAGGTTCAAGGTCAAGCCAACGAGCAATCAAGTTCAATGAGGCCCAGCAAAGGGGGTACCTGCATCAGAATCATCAGCTCCAAAGAGCTTCAAGATGAAACTAACTATTTTGGACGGGTCTCAAGCATGGCTGTGGAACATGTACATCTTCCCCTTGTTGTTTGCTCCGTTTAAGTCAAGCATACGATTGTATAACAGGAATCCTTACATTATACACCCGAACATTGCCTTGTAAATGGTGGTTTCCGTTCATTTCTGGTGGAAAAAGCCATGTTTCAAATGGGCAAAATGTATCTTTTAAGGAGCCCTGTGCAAGTAACAGCACAACACCGGCTTCTGTTGATTCACAGAATGACCGGGTGTTGTGCTTGTGTTTGTGTTTTGTATTTGCTTTGCATCCATACATCAAAATGCCGAACCTTTGCAACAAGATCCCTTTTCCCCTGGTGCGCTCCCTGGGTGAATTGCGGTAACTCACAGCCAACCCAACGTAAGGGATCCCTATGAAAGGAATCTTCATCGCGGGTGAGATTGCAAAGCTCGGGTAGGTGAGGTCGCTACAACTTGCTTACAACCCAAATGAGTCGGATCGCTATTGATGAAGCTTCAGCAATAATCCATTGCGCTTGCATCAAGTAATTAAAGCACTATGCTCGCTCAACGAAGCTACAAGTCTAGTAACACCGACCCTGCAAAGGCAGCAAACGGAAACCAGCCGGTGTGGCCTTGCACGCTTGAAGAAGCCCCCAAAGGACACAAACCCCTTGTTCAAAGTTGAAAGTTGGCTGGGATTGCAAATACCAACAAGTATACCCGGCAATGCTCTTAAATTCAAATTTTACTTCCCACATTTCCCCAACACAGGGGTGTGTGTGCTTGTTGAGGGTACCCTTTTCAGGATAATTTGGAGGGAAACAACAGGAACGCCAGCATTTTGAGGATCCCTCACTTTGTTTGTAGCCAGAGTGGTGGCCTGAAGCCCGCGGTTCTTTCGAGCGTCACCACAGTCCCCCGCAGGTGAAGGCCAGAGGGGTGCATGCCATCCAGCAGGATCACCGCTCGGTCCAGCTCACGCTGGAAGATGCAGGACAAGGGATGGGCCAGCAGAATGCTGCCCACCTGGCTCCAACCAAAAAACTACACATGAGGGACTCCCCGTGGAAAAAACCCTTGGGCTTTCTATAGCCCAACTGTAGGGGACTCCTGCCGTGTTTTTCTTCTTTTTTCTCACGGCAACGGCTGGGAACGCCTTGTGGTTGGTTTGTGTTCCGCTGAAAAGCGCTGCTGCCTTTTTGTGGAAGCCCCGCGGAACATGTCCCGAACGTCGGGACTATGCGCATGGTTGCCCTGCTGGCTTCAACATCACATCTACTTTGCTGTTGGTCAAATTCATGCATGATGGCTCGCTACCAGCAACATATCTCAGTGCACGTGACGGTGTTCTGATCGTCAACGTGTACCCTCTCACTTTGGGATGCTTACGCTGGCAGTGCAGACTTCATCTCACCCATTGGTGATTTGGATTGCTAGCACAAGTTGAAGAGGAACTGTAGTTCAAAGCCAAACACCAAAACAGACCGCCGAGTGATGGTTACCTCACAACTTGGGTGCTGTCCACTCAATGAACATGACAGCACGGGCTTGGCCCCATGGCTGATGCACACTCTGGATCTTTCTGAGAAGCCCCACTGGAGTTGGAAGAGCAGCCACTTCTTCTTCTTCTGGTTGGTTCCTTCAATTTCAGGCTGGGATCCTCATGATCATCCAAACTGGGTCCATAACTTTCTATCCCACCAACCCACACCCTTTCAGGCCCCGAGTTTAAGGCGCTCTTTGGGCGCGCAACTCCCGTGTGCCTTGGCAGTCTCCAGGTGGGCGTTCCGGTATCCCCGCGCAAACTCCTCAGTCGCTGGCGCCCCACTGGCGCGGGCCAGGCGGCTGGTGAACTCGAGGTTCGCCTCAGGGACCCCCGCGGTTTCCTGATGAAGGCCCGCAAAGGCGATGCTGGAAAAAAGCCAAAAGACACGGCCATCTGGCAACGACTTCTTTAAACATGTGGAAACTTCAAGTTCAGGCCACCTCCGAACAGCCCCAATTCGGTTCCCTCGGAGCACACATGCTGACCCCTGGCCCCAAACAGGTGCGGCCTCCAGCCGCCTGATCAGCTCTTCGATATCCGCCTGCGTCTGATGGGATGTATCTGCGGCGCAATTCACTTGGGAGGCATACCCCCTTGTCTTTGACACCAGCTGCATAAGTCTACCGTTTCTCTAATAATTCGGCAGTGGACAGGCAATTTTTCAAGAGGCTAGTAGCCTGCTAACAACACTGCCATCTATTGCAATGCTTGTCGGAAACCTTTTGGATAATCTGGGAGTGCTGGTCACTTCAAGCTTTGATAGTTGCTGGGCGGCCATGTAGTCAAGTGGCACTAGTCTTGGACGTTTGAACTGTCGCAAACAATATGAGGGCAATGGCATAGTGGCACAGCAATCTCAACAGCGCGACGCAAACAGTGCCATGATTCATTTGAGTTGGTTGCCCTGGTCTTTGTTTGGCTTAGCCATTGAATCGGAACCTCGGCGCTGTCCACTCCGCATAGCGCGGAAAATGACCCCCCTCCCTTTCTGCCAAAGTGAAATTCCCGGACCCATCATTCAGTTTGTTTCTTGGAGGGGGATTCTCTTGGTATCACAATATGTCCATTTGACCTGAAAATGCAATGTAATTTGTCCACAGGTTCTCTCGATCTCCCAGCCACACCAAGGGCCTTCCCCTTGTTCAAACAGAACAGCCACAAAACCCAGTGCGGATTCCTTGCTTGGTCCATCGTCCCTAAATCGATTCCATGCCGCTTTCGCAGGACACGAGTTCCGTCTCCCACCGCCTCGTGTGCGAGTCCAGCTTGCACGCGGCGCAGCAGTTTCCGACCCACTGCCGCTGCGCGGAGCGCCGGGTGCGCGTACTCCGTGCGCTGACCCGACAGCTCGTAGAGCGCCTCGTCGGCGAAGGGGTGCTCTCCTCGGAAACGCTGCATTGCGCAGGGACCCGTCCCTGGTAGACAAATGAAACCGTTTCGGGGGATTGGCAAGAGTTATAAAGAGTTCTGGATGCTACATATTACATATGATACGAACAGAAAGATTTGGGTGCCACTGCCAGCGCAGGCGACCGTGGCCTGGCAATGTTGAGGGAAAGGAAAGTGTGGGAACTGCGGGGAACTGCAGCGGGTTCTTGAAACGGTCAGAAACAAGATCCACTCGCCTACCCTTGGTCTTGAAATAGCCGTGGAAAACAGTGAAGTTCAGGATCTCTTGGGCACCAACTGGACGGACGAGATGAGAAAAGAACGACCACTTGCAACAGGAAGCCCGTAGATCCTTCAAGGGAGTGGGATTCTGGATCACATTCTCGGAAGATCCTACTGATCTATTCTTCCGTCACACGGATCCCGCCTCGCGGGATCTTCACTGTGCGGCCCAGCTTGGGGTGGAACCTGAACCACGGACGTGTTCCGGTTTTTGCAACGATTCTGAAAACCTGTTGGCTTAAAGTGGAAGGGAGACGTGTTGGGTGCAAACAGTTCTGATGCTCTAGTGTAGTGTGTGATTGCAAGATACGCGATGCACGTTAGATTTGCTGATCATTTTAAGACTATATGCAGTGGGTCAAAAATAGGTACCCAAAACGGAACCCTGGTACATAGCACCAAGGACTAAAACCTGCGGTCCCCTGGTCGTTTGATTTTGACCCATACCCATAATATGAAACTCATTTTCAGTGTGCTACCATCGCCTGTCAGCTTGGTGGCTTAGATGCTGCCTGAGTTCTTGCCAGTGAGCTGCAGGGGTACACCGAGCTTGGGCTGCGTGACACAGGCGCTTAGCTGGAGATTTACTGTGTCAACAGTTATCTTCCATGATAATCGGACACCTCAGAATATTCGAGGATACCGTCAAACATGCGCAAGTCAATCAGGAGGTGATTCGCTGGTGAGCACATGTTCGGCAAGTGATGCGGCCGAGGCCACCTGTTGCAGTCCCAAGCGCTTGCTGAAGTCCTAGAGTTGTCCACATCAGGTCATACAAATATCAACACAAACAGCTCGCAACCACCTGACATGTTGACTCGTGGAAGTTGCCAATGAGGGGAAGTTGTTGAACCTTGGTTGACAAGTGCTTGCTTGTCAGGTGTTTCACTAGTTATCAAGCGCACATAATGTTGGAACTTGATTATTAACCCCCGCCCCTCAAGGTCGACAAGCTTTGCAAAAGCAGGATTTTGGCGAGTAATTTGAGGCTCCCTCGGATGGATCCGGAAGGCCAGTCCTCTCCGGCCCTGTCCTATGTGGACCCCTGTCTTGCCAATGAGACTGCAATGGGAAAGTAAAAGGAAAAGGCATTGGCTTAGGGTCCAGGGCTGGAGAGGGACTTGATGAATCAGAGGGGGTTGTGTGGTTTTTTGGTTTTCAGGTACCCTTTACGAGCTCGTCAAATCTTGCTTTTCTAAACAAATTGTAATCAGAAATGTGCAAATTTCTGCAATGGCAGCCCTTGTGACTATGCAAGGAGGTAGTACTGGCAAAAGTATTGGCAATAGCTTCGGTAATTTAAATGTGTATTTCTTTGGAAGGTTGGGCCGGAAAAGTGCGTCTTTAAAATATTCAGGGTTCTTTTGGCCAATCCTTGTTGGCGCCTTTAAAGTAGTATTGGCTGGCAGCCGGCTGGCAAACCGGGCGTCTTTAATCAGAGGGGGTTCACTAACCAAGCTCTAACATTGTGCCACGAACAACTGACAAATGCGCGCGTAACTTTTGAGAGGTCCCAGCAAACATGTGGGTCAATGCCCCACTAACAGTTGGTCGATCTTCAACATTCTGAAATGGGTCCACACCAGTGTCACACAGCCAAAATAATGCACAAGTGGAGGGCTCCCACGGAATCGTTCTTGTGTGCAAATGCGTGTTTTCCGTTTCGTTTTCATCGCCATGATGATTCCCACCAACAACCAAGGACACACCCGTTGGTTTCGTGCTTCCAAGGACACGCTGCTTTGAAACCTTCAAACTGCTCATTTGGGCTTTGAAACCTAGGTACATGGTAGGAAATAATCCCTTGCCAAAGGGAACAAAAATACCTCCTTTTTCTTACATTTCAAGGGAATCACCCTCCCCCCCAAAACCACAAAAAATGCCACCACTTGAGAGCTGGGGCAGGCCCAAAACGATGGGGGTCCTGGACAATGAAGCTTGACCCATGGGCACCTGGACCAAAAGGGCCAAGGGAAGGGGCCGATTTGAGTATGTCCAAGGTGTGAAAATAGGGTGGCTGCAAACATGCTGAGTGCTCCTCTTGGCTTCCCTATCTGACAGAAAGGGTACTGAGCCTCAACAAACACACACACAGAGACACAGACGCCACACACACGGCACACATCCGCATCGATGTCTGAGACCGGAGGCAGCCGGCCTCCGCAGGGGCCGGCCCAGCAGCGCCGCGTTGGGCCAGCCTTCGAGGAGCCGCAGCAGGCGCAGCAGCGGCCGCATGGCGAGGGCAAGGTTCGGCTTCCACCCCGAGGCTGGTGGCAATAGGCAACGTATCTTTTTGAGAAAGCACACAGAAGGACATGCCAAACATGACAAGAAGGGGAACACTTTAAAGCGCCATTGTTCAGTTGTTCATGGTGATTGATAGAAAGGGACTTGACTACCAGAAGGAGGAACTTCAGTCGAAGGTTTGAAGGGAACCACCTGGAGGATTAAAGTGAAACATCTTGAAAGATGACGCTTAATCAGCCTGAAAGGACCCGTGGTCACTGTTTGACAACACCACGACAAAGGGACTAGGCTGGGAATAACATTCTCCCGCAAAGGCCCGACAGGGCACAGAATGTATCTTAAAGCATGCCAACTCATCGAAGTGGTCTCTAAGCAACACAATGAACCACGCTCAATCTGGACACTCTACTAGAACCATCATTCACCAAGTTAAGAAAAAAGAAGAAGAAGAAAAAACGTCATGGGACCCTAGGGCTCCATCATGTGCCCTGATGGTCCAGTTTCCAGAGGGCTGGCCTCGAGCTGGGCGCGCTGCCCAACCGACGGCTGCAAGCTTGATCCAAGCACACCGACCATCTCAAGGGTGGCAGCTGTCTACTTACAAGCCAACAACCCTCCAAACCCTGGGGGGGTACAACAAAATGTTTGATTTCGCGGAAAACTTTCCGATGTTCAGAGTGGGAAGCTCATGGGAATCGTTTCCTTTTTGGGCGCGGCTGCCGGCCACAAAAGAAATCCAGAAACTCACATGCAAAGCCAGCAAAGAAGAACCAAACATGGACTCCAAAGTGTCCCCAAAGCGAGCCCAAAGTGGACCAATGGGAACCAAAAGTCGCAAGAACGGGTTCGGGCAACGAAACAATTGTCGGAGAATCGGCTTTACCCTCAAACTCCGAGCTGTTCCAATATCCTTCTCCCAGCAAAGAACCTAAATCTGCGGTCCCCGCTGCAAACGGCATTCAACAAGAAGCACTCGCACTAGGCGGCACAATTATGTTCATGTGGGTTGATACAATGGTTCTAATTCTAATTCTTGATCTTTGGGACTCCCTGTTAAGGCGGTGCAAGATGACACTGAAAGGGTCTGTTGTAAAAGTGGTCGCCGCCTACGTTGGACAGCCCCTATATAAGCTTGCCTGTTCATCAACTGTCTGTCCCCAAACCAAGATCGCCGTACCCTCCCCACTTTGTTCAGGGATCAGTCTGTTCAGGAAACGATCCGAACCCCGGTAGTTTCTGGCCGTGACGAGAACGGTGAAACAACCATTCTGCACATCGGTTGCAACAGGAACAACCGCAGGATCACTTTGATATGGTTGCACGAAAATACCGGAACAAAGCACCCGGTGCTTAGTAGTTGGTTTTAAGGGGACACCAAAAGGAGAACTTGTTCATATGGGTGTGGCTCAAAATTAAACAGGAGGGGTTACGCAGGTCTTGGTCCATGTTTCCACTCACCAGGGTTCTATTTTTGTACCGGTTTGTTTGAGCCACAGCCATATTGATATAACATAAAACGGGGGAAATTTCCCGCCCACAGCTACATCCAAGCTGAGCGCCCAGGCTGGAGCCTGGCAACGGGGCGATGGGTTTCAAGACAGTCGTACCAGGGAGAGATCAGCAGATGGTACAAAGTCCTCAGTTTGGTGGTTGATACCCACAAGGAAATCAACTATCTGCTCTTACTTTGATGTACATGTGAATTGGCTGGCTTCTCGAATCAAGCAGAATGTTCTGCCAATGTGAGCGCGGAACAATGCGGCCTCATCCGTCAGGTGCGCGTCACGTGCATACATCACATGATATACAGTGTTTTTTCAGTTCACACACACAAAACACTCCTTGAAAGCCAGACAAAAACGAGGGCTCGCTGGATTCCTTTCCAAAGTTGGTGGACTACAATGCCTTGCTGCCACTGGAGGTCCAACAAATCTCGATCGAGGGACCCCCGGCAAATCTCGAGGCCTTCAGTCCCTCAGCCCCTCGCCCCGGAGCCTCGATTGGACCAGGACCCGCTGGACCCACGGCGGAAAGACCAAAAGCAGGGCTCCCGCAGGTCCGATAGAACCTGCGCCGCCGCCACAGCCCGGAGCTTGGCATGCTTTAACTGTTGTTGAAACAGCCTCCTTTTGGTTGCCCTGTAAAGAAGACCTTTCAGGTCTGGTTGTTTAAGCCAACTTTGCCCAACTCACGGCGGCGTGGCCCAAGGCCCATTTTGAGAAGGAATTGCAGAGTCCAGAGTCGCTTTGGCAAACAGACTTATTGCTGCAAAAAGTGGCGCACTAAACGGAGCGATGAACGAGACTCGTGCGTGCGTGCTTGCATGGGCGCGGACGCGGGCTCTCTCGTGTCTCTCTGTGTGTCTCTGCATTTTCTGCCTGGCTGGCTGGCTGGCTAGCTGGGTGGGTGGCAGGCTGGCTGGCTTGCTTCCTTGACTGCTATTGCTTGCTGGCTGCTTGCTTGCTTGTCTGTGTTTGTTAGTTTGATAGTTTGTTTGTTTGATTATTTGCTTTGTTTGTTGTTTGTTTGCTTGATTGTTTGTTTTGTTGCTTCTTTGGCTTGTTTGTTGCTTGTTGGTTGGTTGGGCAGGTGGGTTGGGTTGAGTTTGGTTGAGTTGCTGCTTAGCTGGCTTGGGTTGGTTCGGTCGGAGTCGTGTTTTTGGCTTGCTTGTTGGCTTGCTTGATTCAGGCCGGTTCAAGGTTTAGGGTTGAGTTGAAATTCAAACCTTGGTTCAGAGTGGTTTAGGGTGGGTTTGGGGTTGGTTTAGGGTTTGTTTAGGGTGGTTCAGGGTGGGCTGGGTTTAGGGTGGGTTTGAGCTTTGTTAAGGGGTTGAACCTCTTTTGGACACGCTCTAAAGCCAGGCCACCAATCAGTCGCGCGCTTTTCCAAAGATCGGTCAGTGAGATTCCACAACAAGGGGACACATGATAGCGGAATTCAGCTGGGAACCCCCATTCTTGCGCATCATCATTTACATATGTTGCCAAAACCATTTTGAGACTAATTCCCCCAGTGAAACCAATAGAAGTACAGTGAACTACCGGACACCATGACGGGAGACAAGGCAGCTTTGCCCGCGGCCCTCCGGTACCTTGGGCTCAAAGGTCACCATCTCATGGACGGCGCGCTCGGCCTCAGACGTGCCAACCGGTTCCTGTGCCCTAAATTTGACAGGCGTGGAAAGGCTGATCCTGGAGATCCCTTTGGTTCTGGGAGCCTGAAGACTAAGCATATGTCCAAGACCGAAATCGGAACCCGCGCTTCGACGGGCGACCTTCGTTCAAAACATAGGCAACCATGTTACACGCATGTGTGAAAAACTTTGGGATGGTACGTATCCGCTCCACAGTTCAGCATAAGGTCCCCTGGCTCTAAGCAATTTACGCAATCGACTGGAAATCAGGAAGAACTCCATTGCCCCAGGCTTGCTGTTCTGTTCACTCGCCGTGGCCCAAGCGGTGTGCCCGATATGCTCCCGAGGAATCTGAATGGTGGTCTGTGGGGCACGCTGCCGCAAACAAGACTTGTTGGTGTCTACGCCTACGCTGTTTGCAAACGGACCAAACAAACCAAAGATGGTTCATCATATTCTGGAAATCCAGGATCAATGGAAATCCGGAACACTCTCCTAGAGAACTCGCCCAGTCACCAAGGACATTGCGAGGACACCTCAAAGGCCACCCATGATGTTTTTCTATTTTTGTGTTTTTTTAGTCACACGCTTAGCGTGGAGCACTTGGTGAAACCTGCACGCGGAATTTAGGCGCTGGCATCGCTGTGGACGCCCTATCATTAACAAACTCGGCGAGTTTCAAGGTCGGGATGCCCTCATCGGAGCAGCACAGCTGCCAAGCAAAGCCAATCCAACCCACGCGATGCTGCTTTGCTTGTTCGCGGCACAGTCGTTGTCATCGAGGACGTGAGTGTCTCGGTGGTAGACAGGGTCCAAGTGCTCGAAGATGTGATGGTGCTGAAAGTACTTGACGTGGTTGTGGAGACGGTTGCGCTGCTTGAAGTGCTTGTGGTTGTGGTACTGTTCGATGTGGAGCTTGTGGACGAGGTGGAAGTGGACGTCGAGAGGGTCGTGGTCAGAGTGGAAGAGACGTGGAAATCAGTGAAGCTTATGCTAACTCCGCCCAAAAGCCTCCAATTGCCCTTGTACGGAGCTACCATGATGCCCACAGCGTTAGGAGGCACAAGCACAGACTCTAATCTGAAACTGTAGCGCTTGGGATCACAGCACACCGCTGGGGGATAGCTCCTCTTGCTAACCTTGCCAATTTCTGCCAGCTCTGCGCCACAGGCATCAGTGAAGGTCAAGCGATATCCCCACAGCACGCTTTCGTCCGCAGCCCCACCTCTCTGATTTGGGCCAAAGTGGATGACTCCAGTCAGAATGCCAGCTCTGGGATCCATGTCTGTGAATGTCCCCACGCTGCACACCTGGCACAGCAAGTTGGCGGACATCGGTATCAGGGTGAGGTCGTCGTCCATGGGACAAAAGAGCTCCGCTGGGCCGGGCTCGTAGCACTCCTGGATGCCCTCGGCCCACAGATCGATCAGCGTCAACGTGCAGGTCCCCCCAGCACCCACGGAGTCGCAAGCGCTCCCCGTGAAAAGCGGCATGCCAGGCCAAATGTCTCTCGTATCACAGAACTTGATGGTCGTGCTCGTAGATGTCGTGCTGGAGGAGGCCGATGTGCTTGAGGAGCTGGATGTTGTGGAAGTCGAGCTTGTGGTAGATGTCTGTGTCAAGGATGTTGATGTCACTGTGACGGACGTGCTTGTGTTAGTTGAAGACGTAGTCGAAGTGGAGGAGGATGTGCTCGTGCTCGAAAGGCTTGTGGTGCTGCTAGATCGTGTTGTCGTGGTGGAAGTAAGGCTTGTAGTTGTTATGGAGGTCAACGAGATGGTTGAAGTCGTTGAAGTGGCCGTGCTGCTTGACGTGGATGTTTGGCTCGACGAGATTGAGCTGGTTGATCTGGTGATGGATGTGGTAGTGGTAGATGTTGTGGTGGTTGTGTTCTCTGTTGTGCCATTAAAGACGCTGGATGTGGACGTTTGCGATGTGGTTGACAGGCTTGTAGAGGTTGATGTCACTGTTGTCGAAGTGGTATTGGTTACAGTGCTGGAAGAGGTCTCAGTCACCGATGAGGTCGAGGTCGTGATGCTGGCTGTCGATGTTGTGGTGGAGCTGGAGGTCAATGTCGATGTTGTGGTGGAGCTGGAGGTTGATGTCGTATATGTGGTTGACTCTGTGCTCGAGGTTTGACTTGTGCTTGTGTTGGTTGCTGATGAGGTGCTACTACTTGAAACGGTGCTGCTCGAGGTGGTGTGTGATGATGAGGTCGAGGAGGTGGTCAAAGTGGCCGAAGTCGTTGATGACGTGGTCGCAGTGGCAGTTGTTGATGTCATTGTAAGGGAGGTTGTGGTTTTTGTAGATGAGGACCTTGTGACTGATGATGTTGTTGATGAGGATCTTGTGAATGATGATGTTGTTGTCGATGTTGAGCTTGAGTTCGAAGTGCTACTTGTGCTCGTGGACACACTGCTAGTTGATGAGACAGTGGAGGTTGTACTTGTGGTTGTAGAGCTGGTAGAACTCGTGGACGTCATTGTGGATGTTGAGGTTGATGTTGCATTAGTAAAGTTGGTGTATGTCAAGGTGGCGCTTGTTGTAGACGTGGTAGTTGACGTGAGGGTACTACTATTTGTTGTGCTGGTAGTGCTTGTGTGGGTAAAAGTGGTTGTGGTTGCATTGCATGTTTCAGCAGGCTCCTGGCCCTTCAGAAGCGCATCTCCGAGAAGAACACCCGGTGGCAGCATCGCGTGGCAGCGACTCGTTGGAAGCGCACAGGCGACGGCAAGGCTGACGGCGATGAGCGCCCGTAGACGCATGACATTCACCTCGTATCCACATCTGAATGGAGCCCGGAAACCATGTGACCTTCATATGTTGAACCAAACCTTGCGCCATGCGTCATATATCTGCTCGCACTTGCGTCATATTCAAGATCGCCTACAGTACATGTCAGCTGTTAGGAGTGGGCAAAATTCACAGTTACCAACGAGCCGGCAGAGTGGAATCTGGTGTCGTACGTACTAAAATGATCTGCTACACTGTGCACAAGGAAATGGACTCTGCGTGGTCAAACAATTTCATGCAGAATATCAACTTTGCAAGGCTGTGCATAAATGAATACGTAGTTGGCCTCATCGCACTTATGCATCTTTCTGGAGATTGGCAATGCTCGCAACCCCTAAGCAAGGGATTGCGATGGGCGAGATAGATTCGCCAAAGGCTGTGGCATCCCCAAGTACAGCTCCAGTGCAGCAAAGCTGCCAGCGCTTGAAAGAGGGGGCCATGCACGGCACCGGCCTGCGACGGCAAGTGGCAAAACGTCGGGGTACATCGGTACACCCTCCCAATGGGGTGCGCTTAGACAGGGGAACCCAAATATGTTTATTTTCCTGCCGGTGTTCCTATCTTACCAAGGTGAAATTGATATTCTGAAAAAATCGCATCCAACAAAAAGAGTTGACCCTCTGACCCCGTTCTAGCTCGAAGGTCCCGTCCAAAGAGGGTGCCTACTAGCTGCTCAAATCAAAAAGGGATGTGGAAAGCCATGGAAAGCTTTCTTGCAGGCTCCTTTTTGCTGGCGCCAAAGAAAGTTGCTGTTGCACTTTGCAAGTTGCTGCTCTCCTGGCGCATGCGTCGCGCATCACCTTCCTTTCCCTTCATGCCTTTCTGCCCACTGACTGCGAATTTTGCCAGCGCGTGCTACCAAACAGGGGTCGTTCCCTGCACTGCTTGCGTTGGCCAACTGAGGGGCTGATGAAATGCATCTCCACGGACCCCGTGACCTGTAACTGTACCAAAACAAATAGACTTTGGAAAGAGCCCTGTAATTATTGATAAATCTGCTCAATTGAATTTTGGCCAAATTGCTCTTGAAGTCCTTGAAGCCTCCCTGAATCCTAGAGGGAATCCTGGTGATCCGGCGTGAAAGACCGGATCAAAAGTATGCGTGGCTGATGCAAGCGGCTTGTTTGCTTCAGCCCTTCGGCACCCAAAGAGCCGAAGACTTGCATTGCTTGAAGAAAAACAACTCAAGTTCGGAGGGGCAAAAACACGCCAAGGTGACACATGCCTAGAATTGGTGCCTCCTGGAGCAGGGGTGGGCTGTCTCAAATTGGTGCAGCCCCCAGTAGGCAGGCTTTCAGTGTCCTATTAAAAAAAGAAGAAAAAAAACTTCAAAGAAACGGACAACAGCCCCAAAAAATTAAAAAAGGTCACCCTCCCCCATGCCACTATCCGTCGCAGGGGAGATCTCCCAAAAACAGATTGTGTGATCCCCCATCCGAGGCCCCCGAGCGAGCCTCAGTAAAGGCCCAGAGCAAAGAGGCCAAGTTCCCCCCCGCGTTGTCCACCTCCAGGTCCTCTTGAAATCGCGACAGCGAAGCACCCAAAAACCATAAAGCGAACCAACCATGGCCTAACTCTGGGGTACAGCTTCATTTGTAACATGTAACATTTATGTTGTCTTGGAGGAGACCCTCAAAGTTCGATGCGAGTGGACTTTGAATGGTGCAAGTTGCAGCCAGTCAGAGCCCGCAATGGGTGGCCATTGACCATGCATGTGTAAACCGTTGCACTGCACGTGTGGATTCAAGTTGCATAATATTATTATAATATGATATGTGACTGAGACAAAGGCCGAAGCATAAGCATGATTGCGAACCTGAAGAGCAAACAAACACAAAAGCTGGCTGATGATCATCGAGGCTGCGCACGGTTTCGGTTACAATCTATTGGCCTACGTTGCCCCCCTGCCAGTGGAGGCTGGAACTCAACAGTAACACTCGAAACCACCACGCCCGCACAAACAAAACATATGTTCGACGCCCCAAACGCTCCAAGAGTTGCGAAGATCAAAAGATCGCCCGCAGAAAGACGAAACTCCAGGCCGTGTCGCTTCCTGTAGGGACGGCAGGATGGCCGTGCCAAGGGCGTCGAAGGCCTCAGGGTCTCCCACCTGGCGACTCGTCTCGGGTTTTGTCGGCGCGTCAGAAAAAGAGAAGGGACCAAAAGTAGCCATGTGGAGCCAAACATATTGTCATGGTGCTGTTCCTACCAGTCATGGCAAACTCTCTTGGAAACCAAGGGACAGAGCGGACGGTGAGGTTCGACAGCTCTCAAGCGAGCAAGCAGTCTTGGCAATAGTATTCAGCACTAGCCTCAGAAAATTAAACCTGATTCCTCTTCTTTGGGAGGAAAGGGGTACCTTTAATCAGGAGGGGTTGTGGTGGGCACAACAATTTGACTAATTTGTTGTTGCAACAATTTAAACACGTGCTTCAAAGTAGTATTGGCTGGTAGTCAACCAGCAAACAACAATGTTCACACCATCTTTACGCACAAACGGTTCCAACACCAATTAGGATTGACAGGCGAAGGATCCGAGAAAACTCACACTCAGCCGCCAGACTCCTTCACACCCAAGCCCCTTTCCAGGGGTCTAATGGTTCAGCTTGGGCAAGCTGACTGGTTACGCGTTGTGCAAGAGGCCCGGGAAACAGCGATGGCCAAACCCGACCAAATCCAAGGATCCCATCAACAAAGCAACAACTTTTTGCCGGTCCACGGACAATGACAAAGCCCATTGTTTTTGAGAAAAATCAACAGAGTAAAACTTAATGCATCGAACAAAAAACAACACACACAACAACAACACATTCAATACGCATCAAACAATGGCGACATCCACGGAAATCCACGGAGTAGTTCTACCGGACACCCCGCCTTGGCGTTGGCCAACGTACAGGCCACCTCGGCTAACTCCTCCGCCGCCTGGAGGAGTTACCGACGAGCCGAGGGGAGGATCTCTCGAAAAACAAGGACTCCAGGCTGAAAGTCGAGGGCAGGTGTTGTTTTTGTTGTTTTGTTTTTTGGTGGCTAAGTTTATAGGGTATGACTTTGCCAACAGGGAATAGATGGCAGAGGTTTTGACCTTTGTGGGTAAGGGGATGAATCGACAGGGACTTGTGCCTTCGAGTTCCGGGAACTCACCCTGAAGTGGACTACACATCTTGGAAACACGGGCACTCCGTTTTGGCACTTGATTCCCAGGGGAAGCTCCGTCAGTAAAAGAGAAGAGAGCACTGCGTGTCCGGGTTAGCATGATTAGAACGTAGCCCTAAAGCTCTCGTTTCCACAATGGGCATGGACCCTCACAAGCACCCATAATGTTAGAATCCCACTCTTGGCCAGACTCAGACACTCAACCTGTTGCTGGTTGGAAGGAGCCATGAAGGAAAGCCGAAAAGGCAAAGCTTAAGCAGGTCAGCTATGTCATTTGGCAATTAAAAGGGGGCCGGACCAAGGCGTCTTGATTGCTTTGGGAGATCTATCCGGCATGTTCAAATGGAACCTGATCGAAGGCCCTTTGAGGGGAGCATTCCAATCATTTCTTTCGCACCCAGTCCAGGACCTGCAGTGAGGAATCCCCGAATGCCCCCCCCCCCCCCACATCTTGTAGTAGATGAGCTATCCGCGTAAGCTGGCCTACCCTTGCTACTTACCTGACAAAATGACCCAAGCACTCCAAATGGGAACAACAGGGCATCTTGATAGGTGCGGCGTTGTATGTTTGCGTTGATGCAATGGGTCTGGTGTTCAAACCGAGATGTTGAGATGACAGTACCCTTCTACATCCGGCTCCGAAACCAACCGTGGCCCGGACAAACTCATTGCTTCGTGACCTCAAGCAGGCTGGCTTGCGGTGGCAATCGAACTCCTCTGGTCGTCACACCTATTTTGCTTAAATCTTCCCCCTATGGAGGTACCCAGAACCACCAGGCAAAAGCCGCACCAAATGGGTTGGGAACATGCCGACTGAACCTGCACTCCAGACCTCACTTTGTGAACTCTCGGCTTCCAAATGCCCGGCTTTTGCCCAACAAATCACACCCAAATGCATGAACAACAAACCATCAAGTCTATTGAACCATGCCCCATAAAGGGTCCACCCAAGACATGCCAACCAAAAAAACCCAGCTTCGGGCACAAACTGATAAACAACTTGAAAACCTGTTGGGTTCTTTGGGGTCCCACCAATGCGATCACATGACTTTCGCTTCGACACGATCTGAGGCATGGGCATCACGATCTTGTGCACCAAGTCCCGCAGCCTCAGAGATAGCGCACCAAACCAATGCAATGCGGCAGTCGCACGCGGTTCGAGTGTCGCAGCACCGCGCTGTTGCCAGTGTTTCGGACAAGTGCTTCCGTCGAAGCCCGGGGGACCCATGTCATGTCGTAGTTTGCACCATCCACTGCATTCTGGGGTTGAGTCAAAGTGACTGTTTGGCTGGTTGCCAAAATCACTCCATGGGCTTGTCGCGCAGATGGGGGCGTTCCTGGGCAGCTTTGGTTTTTGGTTTGTGCGCCTCTCAGCACATCCGGTTTATCGGGCTGCTTTGGGCTGTTTTGTTTGTCCCCCAATAAGGGCTCTCTGAATGGGGGCAAACGTAGCTGACCTTTCAGATGTTGGCCCTTTCAGAATCCTTCATTTTCCTTTGCAACCAACAGCACGTGTAAAACGTCGGACTTTGCCAGGGGCCTAAGTCGTTCCAAGGCTTGAGCTTAAGAAGCCTTTTGGAGGGTGCACGGAAAGATACTGAAAGCACAGCACAGCTCCCAGCACAGCATTCCTGCCACAAAGGTATATTTAAGCAAAATGGCGAGCCATCGTGAAAATTGGCGCACTGGTGCGGTGCCGCTGGGTTGTTGTCATTGCGGGAGTCGCTCTTCCGCTCAAGCCTGCTGTGTTCCGCCTTGCAGCGAGCCTTTTGACGGGCATGTTCCGCCTTTTCACTAGTGATTGTCGCCTTTTAGAAGGGGGATACCTATGGAAACAATGGTTACTCCTACCCTTGGCTATGCTCAGGTACGATGGTATAAAAAAGCCGCATGTCCCCCCAGAGTCTCAAACAAGAACGTTTGGCCCTTTGGCCCCATGACCA